TATTCTGAGTTAAGAAGCTAGCAAGCATATTGAGCAAGATAGCTAAGTGTATTTATTTAGCTGCTATGTGAATACATGTAAGATGAGGCAAAAGGTGGTAATTGATTGAATCATAGTACCTTTGGAGGAGCGATGAATAGTGAGATATGGATACATCTAAGAAAAGAGGTAACAATTTCGTACCTTCTGTATTTCTAATGAAAAGACAGTGATATTAATACAATATGGCAAATTGAAACCCCACAATGGCCTTGTCTTATTTGACAGAATTTATCTAGGCAGGGTCTTGATAGTTTCTTACTCTTCTTTAGACACTGGTTAGTATTGCCAAAGAGAAACTATGATAGAATAATAAAAGCTAACAGTAGGAACTAGCATAGAGTCTCTAAAATAAGATGTTGCTGTAGCCCAGGGCAACCTTAGGCTGTTGCTCTCAAGCTGCCTTTCTTCCTTTTCTAGAAACCCACCTGTCTTGGTTGCCGACATAGGACTTTGATGGGGCTGGTGATACTGTATGTCTTTTCTTGACCTTGGTGTTCCAGTTTGCTAGGAGAAATTAGTGGGAAATGCAAGCAGACAAGCTTGTAGATGGGGCTCTGTTGGGGAGAGGCCCTGCTGAGCCTCCAGATGGAGGTCATCTCCCCACATCTGCATTCCCCAGCTGCTCTCCCTGGATGTTAGACTCCTCCAGGAACGTTTGTCCTTGATACTCAGTGGTTCTGCTGCTCAGAACCCGAAAGTTCTATGATTTGGGTGTAGATAATTTAATGATATATATGAACTGTGGCATATAAATATCAAAGGCAGTCTTTTTCAGTTAACAAGCAAGGGCACCTGGGACCCATTCACGCCTTCAGAGCAGTTGATGGCCTATTGTCTCAAGACTTAATCTAATTTAGGATGGTTTAATGAAGGATGATTTTAAATAAAAAAGCTTAAACATTGAATTCCATCTTTTAAAAAATTTTTGAAGTGTGTGTGTGTGTGTGTGTGTGTGTGTGTGCGCATCTGTCTTTCTGTGGGTCTGTGCACATGAGCTGCAGTTATCTGCAGAGGCTGGAAGAATGTGTGACATTAGTGAACTACCTGACTTGGGTGCTGGAAAGGAAACTCTGGTCCTTTATAAAAGCACCAAGAGCTCTTAACCACTGAGTCATCTCCCCAGCTCCTCAATCCTATCTTTAACATAGCTCATGTTCTGGAAATTTGTTGTTCTTGGCTTTGGCATAATCAGCTTCCTTGACTGGTTAAGGTTCTGAAAAATAGTTGTATATCTTACATACCAATCCCAGTTCTCCTTTCACATCCTGTCCAGCATAAGCTGTCATTGGTGTTTCTAATTTTAGCCATTCTGACAGGAGTAAGATGGTATCTCAGAGTTATTTGGATTTGCATTTTGGATGTTGAGCACTTTCTTAAGTGTCTTTCAGCCATTTTGGATTCTCCTATTGAGAATTCTCTATATGTAAAATAAGAAAAAGTAATGAATATATTAAAAAATAATTAGTAAATAAAAAATGTAAATATAAAAAAATGTATATCTCATTCTTTATGTATATATATATTATATATATTCATGTGTGTGCATGTGTGCGTGTGTGTGAGTGTGTAGATATATAAATGACATGTAAATAATTTTAGCAGAATTATAATATGACTAGTTCAAGATTAGTTTGAAATACCAAAAATTCTTTCTGGGACATGGCTGAAAGAAATTACACCTTTCCTAACTTATTCTTGGGAGAATGTGTGAGATGCTGCACATACATAGAGTCAGAATGTGAAGGGCATGTAAACATCAGAAATACTGGATAGAATATGTTTTGAGTCTATTTTTTGTTAGCCTATTCTGAGAAGTGAAAGGAATAATTGCAGAAGTATAATTTCCCCCAAACTCTTACGGAACACATTTGTGTCCTGGCTGTGATTCTTAAGTTTTGATAGGAAGACCCCAGAGTCTGAGTTTTCTAAGTGTGTTTGCAAAGGAATCACTGTGCTGGGTTTCTTCATCTTCCCAGCTTCGTACTCACTGCTTACTGGCTGAGCTGCTGGGCATCATCGTAGTGTCCTGTCATGAGTAACTCAAGTGAGACTTCCAGTTGTGCAACCAATAACTGTACTTTTTTCCTTGTGTTTTATTTGAAATTATCCTTTTGGGTAAATTAACAGCAATAGTAACATTCTTACAAATAATGCAAGTGAGTAGTCCTTTGGTAAAAGGGACTTGTAAATGCTGACCCAGATGCTGGGAGACCGGGGAGAGGGTTGGGAGTAGTGGTTAAGGTTGTGGTGACTTGCTGTTCCTCCTTATACCAAGGCACCTATCCATAAACTAGCGTGACCTCTGCTGTGTGCTGTTTTGATCTTGACACAAGCTATAGTGACACTCTTTAGTGTCACTAATGTGTACAGTAGCTTTCTCAGATACCTATTTCTATGAAACATTATACAATCACATTACATTCATTTTTACCTACTAAAAGTCAAAACATAAGGTAGTTTATATTGAAGCTAGCTGAAATGGCACTCAGGTATTGAGTAATCTTTTCAAAATGACTAGGTGAGTAATGATGCCAGAATTTAGATACAAAATTCTGACTCCAGCTTACCGTGTAAACTGACTCCAGTGAAGGAGGGTACTATTGTAAAGCTGAATACTTGTCATTTATATAATTTAGTACGCTGGCTAAGAGTAATACAATGCCTTTCCTAAAGCTCTCATTGTATCTTATTTTGTGAGGTGTATTTTCTTCCTCTTCTCATATTAATCTCTGCACTCATCATTTGTGTTGACTTCTCTGTTTGAAAATAATAGATGTGATGTCATATGCCCACAATCTTTATCCGTGGAAGGCTGAGACAGGAGACTTGTTATTAGTGTAAGTTTTCCCTGAGCTGTGTAGTAAGTACCAGGTCAGCTTGGGATACAGATACAGAGTGAGACACTTTCTCAGAGAGGACACACACGCGCACGCGCGCGCGCGCACACATACACACACACACACACACACACACACACAAACAGAGAGAGAGAGAGAGAAAACAAAAGGCTTCTGGGATACTCTCTACAATAAAGGCTGGCTCAGAGAAACTGGCTTGACTACAGGTAGGTTACCTTAACTGCTCCCATAGTTTGGAAAATATGAAATCTGTAAGGTCTGATAAGGCAGAACCTGAAATGTGGTTCTCCTCTGGTGTGTGATTTGTGAGGGAATTTACTGTCACACTTTAAAATACTTTTGTCTATAAGGTGGAAAACACTAACTTGGGTGAAGTTTGACCTTTTACACTACATTAATAGATCACCCTGAACAAAAGAAATCAGTGCTGCCAAACTAGTCAGTGACAAAGGAGATGAAGCTATAAATCCAAAACTTAAATCCACCCACTGTACAACTGTCCTGCTACTCTTGGCCAGCCACATCCTGCTGGGGAGAATCTATTAACAAAAGCCAGGAGCTTGGGATTGAGAGGTCTTACCAAAAAACTGTTGGCTAGGCTGCTGTCCATGAATGAAAGTTACCTCTGCTCATTCATACCAAACTTGCCCATTAGTACAGAGTCTGGAATATGCTCGCTGACAGTAACATACAGAATGATAAATAACAGCAAATACTTTTCCAATTAGTGATTTGTAAAAATTATACGGGTGAAAATATAGTTTTAGAAGTATTATTCAAGTCATATAAGAAAATATTTATTCTTTCCTAAACTCTTTTTCTTTTTATAGTATTGTAAAGCCTTCTCCAAAATAAATACTGAGAAATGAAGTTGAACTTGTTAAACTCTTAAGTATTAACACAAGACAGTTTTTAGACTCTTTTCCAACTTTTGTGTATAATTTATAGCTTTAAAAATTAATTCAAGTAGACAAATCTTGACCAAAAGAATATTACAAAATATGTTTCCCCCACTTAATTGCCTTATTCTCTGTCCCTGTTTCCTTCTATTTCATCTCCTTATACCAGGAGCTCATTAACCATAACTTTCTAACTGTCAATCAAGCATGCCAAAGTTGTCACCTTCTTCAGATCACCCCATTTACCCTGGCATAGATAGTGAAGTGATTATAGCAACAAAGGTACTGAGTGAAGATGCATCAGGGAAGGAACAGTATTCCAGGGGAAAGGGGAGTTTCCATGGGGTGGTGTTGCTATGAAAGTACACTAATAATTAGAGGAAAGGTAATTCTACACTATGAAAAACAAAAATAGCCACAGAGTGAGGACTGAGCCATGTGAATTACATGGGATCTGTCTGACTAGATTCTGTAAAGCAGAATCACCATATGTGAAATTCACCATATGTGAAAAAAAAAAAGAAAGAAAATATAGACAGAGGTAATAGATGGACCTTGATGACAACGCTTATAGGACACTGGATTTAAGTCACTCTGTGAGAAATATCAATGAAAAGCTTTGAATATATAATCTGACTTGTATTTACCAGGATAATTTTGTCTTTTCCTTACAGATTATAGATAATATGTTTCAAATATAGTCATTTAGAATTTATGAATGTGTTTAACATGGCAGAAGGATAACTAATGTCTGGGCCAGATATTACTGGCAGAAAGGGGTTAAACCCTGCAATTATGGCTAGTTTGAGGGTCTTCTCTACCCCCACTGATTGGACATGAAATCTTTGAACTATGTCAGAGGAACTCCAAGGTGTCTTTATTCTGAACTAGTAGGGTCCAGTTCTATGCTGAGATGAAGAATTCATGGGGCTGGATGTTGGTCAGGAAATGGAGCTTAATGGTAGTTGTATTGGGTTTATAGTGCCCCCATTCAAATGGCACACTTAACTTATACTATTGCGTCCATGTGTCTGGGGACCATAGATCAGACTGGAATTCTGTAGCTTTAGTGCTTCTTTGTATGCATCTTATAAGACTACAGTGGCTAAGAACACAAAAGAAGTATGGCAATAACTAAAGGTAGGGCTGACATCATCAGCTTTTTAACATTGTTGTATCACACACATTTGTATTTTACAAGGAACAAAGAAAAATACTCTTTTAGCATGGAACACCCTATCCAGTGAAAATCAGAAGTCCTGTGATAATGTGGTGGCTTGAGAAGTGAGATTGTATAATGATATCTTCAAGAGCTAAGGAGTACAGATTGAATGAAATCCAATTAAGATTGACAGCTGTTCGGAAGCCTGTTAACACATCTGGACGGACATAATGTAATGCAGCAAACTGGAACTGAAGACCTCCCAACAAGACTCTGGCCTGGAATGCTGACCCACTACATGGAGATGGACTTCCTAGGAAACATTAGATTGTTGGATACATTTATGGGAACAGGAATCAATATTTCATTAAATCCCACTTTTTTTTTTTTTTTATGGTCACAGTTCAGTCTACCTTATTCTCCCAGATTTAAAACAAAAAAGATCATACAGACAATGTTTGAGATAAGAGGAATAAGAAGATAAGAAAAAAACAAGTCATATGAGGGTTAAATTGCCAAGAATTGTGAGGAATAGGTGGAGAGGATGGAAATGAGCCAGGAGACACACAATGATCACAAAATAGGTGACATAAATTGTGTAGATAATTGCTGAAGTATGCCAGGATTTTTGTTTGTTTTTTTATTTAGAAAAAAATACAAGCCATTGTTCCATTTCCATCTGATACTAATTTGAGCCCCAAAACTTCTCCCCAAATAGTCTATTTTAAAAACATAATTTATCTGAAGTGCACTGTATTTCTAATTTGAAAATATGCATAGGAAATCGTGGGATAGGTTAGTTCTATTTGCTAAAACTTTGTGTTTAATTAGTCATGTCTGGCACAGTCATAAACAGATATGTAGAGAACCTGGTTTGCATCCACCTACCTGTTCTGCTTGTGTGAGCCCCTTGTTAAGAGCCTTTACTAGTTTAAGTAGAATCAGCTTTGTGTGTTCAAAGTTTGAGGTATTCACCTTTTTCATTTGTTTGTTTTTGTATTTTGTATTTATTCTTAGGTTTGAGGTTTTTTTTTTTTTTTTTTTTTTATGTGTAATTCTGGCAGTACATACAAGTCCATGTTGTCCAAATGAGGCGGGGGGTGGGGTTCTGTCACAAGAGGTAATGGATGCTTTCAATATCTTCATCATGGTGATTTCTGGTAGCCCACATTGGTTGTTCTTTCATGTATAGCCAAACTCCTCCCCATTTGCCTCCATTTCCTCTGTGTCTCCATCATCATCCCTTTCTTTTGTGTGTGTGTGTAATTTTTTTGTCTAAAAACAGCAATGATACCTAATTTTGGCTCATCCTCATGGTCTCAATTTGATTACTGTATAAAGCCCCATTTCCAAAAAAAGTCACAGTTACTGAAGGCTAGATTTTAACAAATTCTCTTTATAGATCATAACCTGTAAACAGAAAAGTATACTACATGTTCAAGAGGTAGTGTAGATACTTATTAAAAAGAGAAAAGTTGTATACGACTATTCTGAAACTTACCCATATAGTTACTGTTCTATTGCTATGAGTAGGCACCATGACCAATGCAACGTATTTAAGAAAGCATTTCATGGGGACTTTGTAACAGTTTCAGAGGGGTTGTCCATGATTTTGGTACGAAGCAGGCAGACATGGTGCTGGAGCAGTAGCTAACAGCTTTATGTACTGTTACACAGCTAGCAGGCAGAGAGACTGGGCTTTTGAACCTAAAAGCTCACCCCGATGACACATCTCCTAATACTTCCTAAGCAGTTCTACAAACTGGGGTGCAAACATTCAAACATGGGGTCATTCTAATTCAAACAACTACCCTTATCATCTGACATTGCCTAGAGAATATTACGGATTAACTCTGTCTTAGTTATATGAGTACCACTTTTGTTACGACATGTCAGTGAAGCTTGCAGTTCAATTTGCAAGGCCATAATCCTTTAATTGGTGTGACATGTCATCATACATTTAGGAAATTTTATATTAATGTCAAAAATTATGCTGTAGCAAATTATATAATTACATTTGTATAAAATACAGGTGCACTGTATGTCTCAAAAGCTGAGTGGATTTGTGTACAGGCTTCAGCGTAGGTGATGCACATGGGTCAATAGAGCCTTGAATCCATTATATATTGACCCTGACTCATAAGGTAGTTGATCTTGCTTAGTGCTATAGGTAAATGATTCCCTGACTTTTTAGGTTTTAATTTGAGACTTAACTGTGGGTATGGGAAACACATGTGAGAATATGCTTCAGACAGTTGCTTTCCTCACTTTGAATACCTCTGGGTTTAAATTGTGTTACTGTTTCATTCTCTGCCTGTAATCCTAGGGTGATAACCTAATTAGTGTACCAGAAATAAGATCATGAAAACATGTCCTCCAGGAGGAACAAACGAACTCCTCTGCATTTAATTTCACACTCTGCCCTGTCAGTACAGCTCAGGTTTTAAAGAACACCTGACACTGTATGATCAATAAGCCTGATCAAGCATCCTGTCAGAGAGAGACACAAAATTGATTAAAGGGTGTCCCACTTCTTTCAGCATCCAAGTAGTTGTGGGAAAAAGGCTAAAATAATTTAGATATTTTACTGGAATCCTGATCAAAGAAGCACACATTTTGAGGGCATCACTTCTCTCCATTTCTCAGTGTGACTTTAGGACTCCAGGTTCTGAGTTCAGTCAGCTAAAAGAGTACAGAATATTTAATATGTGAAGGTGGATGTTGTAGAATTCATTGACTGTATATCCTAAAGCTTTGGGTAACTTAAACGTAAAATAAGGTGTGGCTTCAGGATATTACCTATAGACATGCTAATTCGGACAGCAGAAAGCTCAGGATGCCTCTACCCTAGATAGTGGGAATGTTGTGAGTTGGAGAATTACCATCTTCCCCAGGGAAGAGCACACAGATTGGTTATCCAAAAACAAATCGTCAGTCCTGACATCATACATAAAAGTCACATGGACACAGCAGGTTACATTCATGTATTTATGTACATATACACACAAATGCAAATTTTAAAAAGCCACCAATTTGGAAGAACAAAGGACAATACAATATATGCAAATGTTGGAGCAAGGACAAGGGGGAAATGATGTAACTGTAATCTCAAAAACTGAAAGTATTTAAAAAGTGAGGTCGATTTGGTGTAGGCCCTGATGCCAGCTTTAGTATTTTGTGATTTTAATGCATTCAGATCACTAGAAGCCTGCTGTGTATCCCGTGAATCATTTACTGTGCCACTGGATTGCACCCTGCTACTAAACATGCAGGTGCATGGTTTAATTGAGAATAATGACTGTGGTGTGTTCTCGAAGTTCTGCAAGTAAGTATGAGTGAAATAGAGTAAGATATAAGACTAAGTACAGTAATGGCCTAAAGAAACTAGACATAGTTGCTAAGTCACACAAGTCTGAGGGAAACTAGGAATAAAGAGCCTGAACTGGATTTAGGGATTGTCCAATATTCATGTGTGCAATCGTAATTTTACACTGAATATCTGATAGGCATTGTGGTAAATGTTTGGGCTGTAGATCTTAAATTAAAACAACTTATTGAGTTTAGGAGTGTTTTTTGTGTTCATATGAGGAAAAATAAAACTGGTTTTTTAATAAGTGCCAAAGCTGAGAAGTTTCATTATAATACTGAGATGGGGTTGCCAGTTGTGGTCTTAGCATCTCCTTTACACCATAGTGATATGAGATTGTGGGATATATGGGAGCCAGAATTCAGCTAGCCACATAATTAGTGTGAGAGTAAAGTGAAAAGAAGATGACAATTCATTGTGATGTTTTAGGCAGGGATTGTGTCTGTTCAAACTGAGTTAACTTACCTGTGTAACTCAGTTGTGAAAGTACCAGTGCATGTAGGGTTTTGAATGCACCCCAGAAGCAGCTTTGCCACATACAAGCCCAGGCTGTTCTAATCCTTACACACTTCTCCCGTTACACATATAGTGACTGTCTCAACTGGGAATTCCCAAGATGACTTCCAAGACTATTATATGTGTGTTATGGATTGTGAATGTGCTGTAGACACAAAAGCGGCGCATAGCACACAGCTACCCACAGCTCTCCCACGTCCTGACTAAAAGATAGTCAGGAAGCTCAGTCAGCCAGGGGATTACCTCATGAAGCACTCCTCAGTGGGGGAAGGAAAGGCATCCACTGCTCTGAGAATAAATAATCCCAACAGAAAAATGAATTATAAATAAAATAACTAAATATATTCTGATTTAGTTGACAGTCATTTTTAAAAGTTAATTTTTCTTGAGACAGCATCTCATAAATCCCAGGTTGGGATTCTTAAGGAATGTGACTAGGGCTAACCTTGAAGTTCTAATCCTTCTACCTCCTAACCTGACTGATAGGTATTATGGTTTAGATGTGAATCAATGTGCCAGCTTCCCATGAACAATTTTAATTCAAGAATTTACTAAAATAAATGAACATGTTAACATTTTATTTTCCCGTTTGATATCATGGGTATATCTACAGTCTGCTCCTGGTTAGCATTTTTCCTTAGATTTTAGTGTAGGAGAAAGAACAGTAGTAGGTGTAAGACTCAACTTTCTGGCATGTATTTTCTTTACCAGTCATATGGTAATGACAATCAATGCTACTATAAATTAAGTCTTGGTTTTATAATTTGATTAATTTCTTTCTAATTTTCCCATTTCAAGATGTTTTGACTTGTATTTTCTTCCAGATCACAATTTGTAGCAAATGTCCAGCTCACTTCAAATAAAATTTCTGGTACCTCCAAAACTCATTGAGGAGCCTGCTTATGAGTCAGGGAAGGATTACATTTATCACATGGGAACTCTTGACATGTTTGTAGTTACTTCTTCTTGGACAGCCTTCTCAGAGTGCAAAGGTCAGCATCCCCATTTCCCATTAGGATCCTGTGATCACTGCGGATCTGGGTGGCAGCCCGGGGTTCCTGTGTGGGAACACAAGGACATATGCTGACTGGCAACCCTGTGATTTTGTTCAGGGTGCCGATGCAAGAGGATCTCTATGTTCCAAGTCATCTTAGGGTACAGAGCAAGAGCCTGTCTCACACAGAACAAAGCAAAAGGCAATAAAAGATGGTTAAGATTATATATTATGATTACAAACCTTGGCAAAGGAGGGTTGGTAGAAAATTAACTGATGATTGCGTTCCATGTGGCAGGGGACTTTTGGATTAATATTGACTGCAGCTTTGAGTGGC